TGAACTTGATAGCTAGTATGATATAGTGGTTAGAGTATGGACATCTGGCTTCAGGTCTGAACACAGTTATTTATTTTTTCATTATTATTATATTTACATCTTCCTGTTTTTTCCTCTGGAAGTAAACCAAGGCTGCTTACATGACCCTTTTTTTCATTTTGAGATAGCTTAGGCTGAGATTCAATGACGGACTTCAATTTATCCAGCAAGCTTCATGGCTGAGTGGGAACTACAACCCAGCAATCTCATGAGTGCGTGCCCAATTTGCCAACCACTTTACAGTGCCGTCTGTAAAGCTCACAGGTTATTTATATATGTAAGGCTTTTATAAACCATTCAATTAGTGAAAGCTCTCAGAATAGTGTACAGAAAAGTTAACCAACCGTCTAATAACATAATATGCATATATTCAAGTCAACAGGGCAATTAGATATGCATTGGAATATAACATCATAATCAACAATGTGATAATAAATAATAGTATATAGTGCACAAATAATGCCAATTCACTGAATGCCTATAACCATTTAGATAAAAACCAGTATAAAATCAAATAACATTGTTTAACAATTAAAATGTCAGGGAAATAATGCCAGGTTCTGACCTGGTGTTGAAATATATAAAGCATCAGTTCCAGGTGGACCTCCCTAGGGAGTTGATTTCATAATCGGGACACCACAGCCAGGAAGGTCCTTCTCCTTGTTCTTTTTTTACTTCCTTCTTTTAAAGGTGGCTCCTGGAGAAGGACCTCTGTAGATGATGTTAGGGTCCAAGTTGGTTATATCGGAGGACACATTCCTTTAGTCGGCTTTTTTTGTCATAGAACGCACCAGAACAGCATTCCAGCACCTTTTTTTGACAGATTTTTCCAAGTGATTGTGAATCAGGCCGTAGCAGATCGGAAGCAAAAATCATTAACATAGTGCCTGCGGGCTGCTTGTGTGTTGGTGCTGATTGTGAGGGCGCTGCTTGGCTTGGGATGCTGCTCGGCTTGGGATCGGTTGTGTAGTTGCACGCTGAGTGCTTACTGCCGGCGGAGACCATTGTGTTAAAGTGTGACCCCAAGACGTGCGTTCCGGCACCTTTTTTTTTTTTTTTTACAAAAAAAGCACTGCCTTTAGTTATCCAGGCCCTCAGTCATTTAGGGCTTTATACATTGATGTAAGCACCTTAAAGCAGGCATGGATATCAATTGTTAACCAATGAAATCAATAAAACTTATGTGTTTATACCTGCCTGTCCGTGTCCGCAGATGGGCTGCCCTATTTTGAACCAATTGAAGTCTCTGGACCATTTTCAAGGCAGCTCCATGTACAGTACATTACAAGTAGTTCAGATGAGAGTTTAACAGAGCATCAGTTGCCATCACCACGTTCTGCCCATCCAGGTTTTGGGCTAGTCACTGAAAAACCTACCTTACATGGTTGATGTACAACCACAATTAAAAACAGGAGATAATCCTCTTCCAATTCCATGCAAAATGAAAAAGATGGGACATACATGTGTTAGTATATAACAATAAATCAGCTGCTGGGAGAGGGGTTTTGAGAAGGGTTGCAGTTTGTCCAACACTGGTTTAAACTATGATAAATGAGAACAATCCAAGTTCAAATTGTGGGCTTGAATCCCAGCTTGTTTCCACAAGCTGTATTTGAAACATATCCTGAAGTTTGCATATTTAAGGAAACTGTAATTAACATAGTCTAAAAGTGGGAGCATGGAGATCTTGAGGCTTGTTTGGGACTCATTCATATGGCAGGAAAGTCCTGTTTCTTCTGCTTATACCACTCTGCCCTCTAATCTATAAAAGAAGCTACCAACTTTAGGACCAGCCATAAAAGTTACCCAATATTAACAGAAGAATATGCAGCTGAAATATTAAGAGTAGCATCCTTAAAGCACCAGTGTGACATCAAGGATTGTTGTACTTATTTCAAGATTGCTATGCTCAGTCCTGACCATTTATCTGCTGATGGACAGTCTTAGGCAGTTTTTCAGTGGAACTTACTTTAAAAATGAAAACAGTTTCTCTGGTTATTTTTTAAGCAGTGATATATCCTTAAAGAGATCAAAATGTCAGACAGTATCTTTTAAAGGAAAAGGTAACATTACCTAGGATGTGTTGGTGGATGTGCTCATTTGCCCTGTATTTGCAGTGCTGCTGTTTCGCTTTGCTGCATAGAAATGCTCCATTCCCAGAAGTGAGGGTGGAGCGGAAGCATTTGCAGTTGTTGCACGTAGAAAAGACTAAAGCTTTTTAGCATTATGCTGCTTTACAGTGTTACTACTGTTACTTTATAAAAAGGCTCCTGCCTAGAGAAACACTGTTGGTATACCTCTGAATTTAACAAGTACAAATTCTGTTATGAATGCAGTTTCTCATCAGTCTGTCAGAGTCGGACTAGAGATCATGCTGTTCCATTTAAGGTATTCCATTTCCTAAAGGCCATTCTTGGTAGATGAATTCAGGTACAGGCAGTTTAAACTGTGAAGCCAGCCTTTTCTACAGAGGCACAAGCAGTTTGCAGTACCCTGAATAGAACGACTCCTGAGAACAACATGGCTGGGACCATAAGACAGAACAGGAGCATCTCCTGGCTTCTGTACAGGAATAGAAGCAGTGTCATGCTTATGGCACTGTGCTAATTGGGTTGCTCTGGGCTGATTCTAGACTTCAGGGAGCCCTCAGCCAGGTATCCTGTGACTGGCTAGCTCCCTTCTGGATTGGCGGGCTTTCAGCAGTCAACTCATCTGAGCCAGTGTGGTGTGGTGGTTAAGAAGGCAGGACTGGGACTCGGGGGATTCGGGTTCTAGTCCCTGCTCAGCCATGGAGCCAACTAGGAGACTTTGAGCCACTCACAGACTCTCAGCCCAACTTCTCTCATAAGGTTGTTGTTGTGGGGATAAGCAGCATCACGAGAATACTATAAGCTGTTTTGAGTACTTTATAAGAAAAAAGACAGACTATAAATCAAATGACAGCAGCCATGTAAATGTCCCACTGTGCCCCAGAGCATTGTGGGAAATTTAAAGGCTGCTTGCTGTAGTCATAGCTTACTAAGCCCTGGAGCACTACTTGATTCCTAATGGTGCCAAGTGCTGATGCTGAGCCTGGGGGTGCTAAAGGAGGGATGCCATTTAGTCACTCCGTTGCTGAACAATGTTTCATTTTCATAGGCCAGGCACCAGGCATTGATTATTCCTGAAGAGCACGAACAGTTTTGGCCTGCTGATTGGTTCTACACCCAGAATGGCAGTCATAATACAAAGTCCAATGGGTTTGTGTACTGAATCCATAAAGGCACCACTCCCTTTGATTAAAAGGGGGGATTTCTGCCCTGCGTTGATAACGTGCATACAATTATTATGAAATGAGAAGGTGCTTCTTAAAAATCATATAATGAATTTACTCAGCAAGATTTTTCTGACAAATGAATCAGGGCTTCCGTACCAGGTGAGAACTTTTCAGTTAACACAACAGAGCTTAGGTTTTGCTAAATCCCATGCTGGAGCCTAGTTTGAGAGCCCTGGAGAAACAACTCCTTGCACCTTCTCTGGGTAGGCTTTCTTGGGGCAGAGCAGAGGGCGGCAGTGGATTTGGGGACTGGCAGTGGATTAAATAGTGGCAGCTGCCAGTCCCAAATGCTTCTGGGCTTTGTGTTGTATAGTGAAGCAGGAAAGGAAATGATAAAGCAACAAGCAGAGGTTGCAGCCTTTCAGAGCTAGCATTTGTCTTACTATTGCTGGATGCTAATGCTAAGTCTGATAAAGTGACTTTCTAGACAGTGAATCTCATTGAACAGAGGGTGTAATTAATATTACCTATGTTAAGTTCACAGTGTTTCTATTGAAGTGAAGGGCAGGATCTGAGTAAACCTGAGAAGATATACCTCCTATAAGCCTGCTGCAAAACATTATGGTAATATTATTCTGTGGTCTAGAAGAAAATAGTTTTTCTGTTGTCAAGAGAAAATTGGACCAATAAGCAGGATGCATGGGTAAAACCATCACAGAATTAAAAGGGATGGAGGTGATGTAACATGTAAAGTAAGAGGAGGATTTGGTGGTGTTTCTTCCTCCTGCCAAATTTTGAAAGAGAGTTGAGATTCAAAAAATAAACTTGCTTATTTAGTTTCCTGTGCTGCTGCTTCCTGGCCTCACAGTTAATTGTGTTGCAGTAATTCCAAACTAGCCAGCTGTAGGCTTTGTGTGAGCTGGGGGCACAGGCAGCAAATAAGAGAAAGGTTGAATAAGCCTTTCCCATCCTGCACGTTAAATTACATTCTGTCCCAAAATTGCATCTTTATGACAAAACTTTTTGTTCTGAGGTGCATATCATATTGTATCATATCTGTTTAGCTCCATTACACTTTAATAATTCTTTTGGGGAAAATACTTTGTTCTAGGAAAATAGCAAGTATTTTCCCAAAGAATTGGGTAAAACCCCTGCAACCTGTCTATGGAGAGTTTACAAATAATAGGTTTTGGTTCATAAGAATCCTGAAGTCTACAGAGTTTGTTTAGGATCACTGGGGATGTGCTTCAAAATTCCCTTACTGAATAAGCTCTCTTCATGTATCCAATGGCTGCATTAAGATGGTAATCCTAGAAGTAGTTTTTAAGCTGCCCTGTCTGTATGTATGATACCTGCTCCCTGAGTTGCTGTGAGAGAAAAAATACAGAATGTATAGGAACTTTAAATGGCAGCGAAAAGACAAATGACCCATAGAAAAATGAAAACCAGACATCAACTCCTTCAGTCAATGCTTAAAAGTTGCTTCAACCAAGTTGCTTCTTCTCATCTATCCTTCCCACAGCAGGGCTCTGCTTTTTGTGCAACTCTATTTGAATTGTTGGTGGTACAGGATTTCATTTAGAAGAAGCTTCATCCGTTTTTGCCATGGTCTGAGGAGGCAAAAATTAATGTTCTAGCTAAACAACTTCTTATGTAGACACACCTATATTGTGTATATTCATTGATTTGTTGTTATTTGTTCCAGAGTTGGTGATGTTGCTGGAATGGTGGTCAGGCACTACTTGCACCCTCTACACGGACCCACAGAATTACCACAAGTACGGGAAAGAGAATGCCATCGTAATCCTTAATCACAACTTTGAAATCGACTTTCTCTGTGGTTGGAACTTTTGTGAAAGATTTGGGGTTTTAGGGGTGAGTTTTGACTAGTATTTCAACCAATTACCTTTCATCATACCTCTCTCTATAGCAAATCTGCTTTTACTCAGAGTTTGGGTAGTTCTTACTGCAGTCTTCTCTTGATCTGAGTCTCTTTTTTATATAATCTTCCTATATAGTTTTGTTTTGATTGGAGACATGAGCATTGTTTGGAAGAGATGCATTATCACAGTGCATGCACAATTCATAATCTATCAAACGTATTCAATATTTCCTTATTGTGGCCTGTTAGATGCTTTGCAACACCCTATTTTAGCAGTCCCAAGCAAGTTGCACAAGCAGGGTACTTACCCAGTTATTTATGAGCTGTCATACATAGCTGATGGGCTGTGTTTAGCTTGGTAGCCAGTAGTTGTGCAACCCTGGTATATGTGGCAATGGTGACTGGCCTCATAGTTGCCAGAATGTTGAAATGGGGTAAGCATGTGATGTTTTTTTAAAGCATATCACTCGAATTATATGTTGCACTGCTTGCCAACATAATGCTGGACTCAGTTCAGAGGGTTATCTCCAGGGTTATTTTGTACCTTATAACCTCTCCTACATACAAGAACCAAGACCATCCTGTAACCTGAATTTTGGCAGGGAGGTATAAGTGACTTCTAGTCCAGGGTTATAAAGTGCCTTCTTCAAAGAAAACGTGCTGGCTTTCTGGCATACAGCCAAGTTAGAGGTTTTCAGGAAAGGGCTAATTTAGAGTTGCCTAAGGAACTGCAACAGGGATGGTTGTTGTGACTGGTTTTTGTTAAAATGTTGCCTCTATTTTCAGTGGTAAGTGTCTATTTAATTTCAGTTACGATGTTGGTACTCTTCTCAAGCATTTTGCTGGAAGGCTGATATGAGTACCTTAATAAAATAAAAAGAAAAGCAAAAGCTATTGCTGAGGGATGCTAATACTGTTTATTTTTTAAAAAACCCAAAACAATCCATTGGTTTTTGGCTTCTTGGAACTATACCTGAGACTGTTTGCTTACAGGGCCCTTGGGCCAAGTCGGCGGAAATTAAATCTAATAAATAAATATATCCATATCCATATAATTTGCCTTGCTGCTTACCTGGGTCAAATGGTAAGTTCACCAAGTAAACGCCAAATTCACAGACTTTATGAGCTCACCACCCTATGTGAAGCCTTTATAACACTGTTAATGCAGCATAAAATGGTGGTAGCTGAATGCAGTCCTAAACTGCTGCTAGTTCTAGGGTGGTATCAGTATTTGGAGCAGGCCTACAGCTGCTCAGGTACTGTAGCTGGTGGTCTCAATAATAGTGATGTTAGAATTTGTGTGAGTTACAAGTTTAACATGAGCTATTCAAGTGCTTTCTCCAGGTTAACAGTCCAGATACCAGCAAGTTAAGACAGATATTCCTAGAATAGAACAGGACCTCATACATATTACACATGACACTTTCTTCCAGAAGAAACCAGCTCTTTTCTTTTGCTATTGAATAGCTGTAAAAACAAGGTAGAGGGGCACTGCATATGTGGATTGGACCTTTATATACAGTAAAGCTTGGATGGCAACATGGGGCCATATAACCATTTTGGCCTCTGCCTCCACAGACGGTTGGCTATGCTGGCCAGGCCTGAACATGAAGGGCCACAAATTGCCCATCCATGCTGTAAGGCCGTGTATGAAAGCGAAATGTCCAGGCTGCCTTGTTGATTAAAATAAAATATTCCAAACATCAACACATCATTTTTTTCAGTTCATTTTCTAGGGAAATTTTTAACGTTTTGGTGTATGGATTATGTAATCCATAAATAAATTAGCCTCTTCAGATGCTTGCTGGTAGATTGCCAAATCTAAAGTGTCAGTGAGGAGTAAGTTTTCAGAATTTGCCAGCTGCTATCTTTGAACTGTATTTCATGTTGTTTCCATCTGTTTAAAGTTTTGGGATAGAACTTGATGCATCACAGCTGAAATGATTGCTCTGAAAAGCAGTATTCTCCAGGAACTAGTTGAACTGTAGTGCCTGCCTCACAAAGCCCAGGCATCATTTGAGTATTTATTTGTTTGTTTTGTCATTTCATTTTATTTCTATACCACCCCACAGCTGAAGCTCCCTGGGTGGTTTACACAGTTCATAAAAACAGATGATAAAAATGCAACCAAACATTATACAATCAGAAAAAAACCAAAAAGTTTAAAACAGCTAAAAACAGATAATAGAAACAGGCAACAACAAGGTATAAGAAAAAAAATCATTCTGCAGGACACCTGGTGATCCCCTTCAAGCCCCCAGGTGGCCAGGTCATTCTTTAAAAGCCTAGAAAAGAGGGCTGTCTTGACCAGGCACTGAGGAGATGACAGGATTGGTGCCAGCCATGCCATAACAGGGAGGTTATACCATACATGGGAGGCCACCGCCAAGAAAAGCCTCACCTTTGTTGTCACTCTCTACATCAGTTGTCTCAAACTCAACTTACCTGGGGGCCGCTGGAAGTAGAGTCTGGGTGAGGCTGAGCCGCATCAAGTATTCCACCACCGCGGTGGTGGTGGCCACTCATCCCATGGCCGGCCTGGGCGCCACTGGTGCTTTGAAGGCCGCGGGGCCCCTCCCCCGTGCCCCGCCTGTCCCAGCAATTGGCCCGCGGGTTTGAGACCCCTGCTCTACACTTTCCTTGGAGTTAGCACTTGAAGGAAGGCAATCCTGACTACGTGTCATTTTGTCATCTTTTAATTAGGAACAAATACATTCTAGGCACCTATTTTATCAAATGTTTGAATGTTTTTTCTCTTTGCTCTGTATTTGGCCTGAGTATTGAATTGTAGAAATGTAAACAGTAATATCATTAGCTACTTTGGTAGGCATTACATCTATGCTGACTGGAGAAGTGGACTTTTAAGAACAAGAAAAGAGTAGAAAACATTGGTCAGAGATTGCTTTTACTCTGATTTGGCTTTGTAGCATCATGCAGTGGTGCCTCATAGTTCAAACTACTCTAACTTCGAACTATCCAATATTTGAACATTAAAAGTTGAGATAAAATCACTCTGCAGTTCGCACCATGCTTCTAAGTTCGAACTGCAAGAGCAGTGAAAAAAAATGTGGTCATAGCAAAAACATCATTGGTTGTGTGCCCAAGTTGGAAAAAAAAAATTACAGTAAAAGACGCATTGCCAAATTCCTCTCAAAATACTCCCCCTCACTTCGAACACAATTGCCCCATCATTCTTGTCACTTTTGGAAGCAGTTCTGGAGGTCCTCTTTTGTGAGTGTCTTTAGTTGTGCCATTGTGGCTGCGTCAGTGTCCTGACTTGAATTGATTTGTCTTGAATTGATTCAGGACATCGAGGCAGTGATGACAGGACTGGATTGGGCCCATAACACAGGAAAAGAATTAAGGCCCCCATGCCCACGCTAGTGTCCCAATACAGTCAGACCCCCTGTGCTTATCTAGAGTAAACATGTAAACATGGCATAACTGGTATAAATCTAATGTCTTTTTGTCTTTTATGTGATGTATGATCAGTTTTCCAGTGTTGAAAACTTATACCACAGAATTTGAACCCCTGCATCTTTCTAAAATCTGCAAAATTCATTCTGGTTATTTTGAGAACTGTGCTATTAATTGAAGTGCAGAGCAAGCAGTGGTGGGTTTTAATTGTGGTATATCAGAACGCTTGAGTATTAAGTGGGACCATCTAGGAGACAGGTTAATATGTAGTGCTTCATTTCGGAATCATGAAGCATGTCCTAACAATGCTGTACAGGTTTGGATCTTAGAAAGGCATGTGGCATAGACCAAGCTATCATTTTAGTTTCAATACGTCTTATTATACACTCATTTTTTAAAAACACAGTTTGTTTTGGTTTGCTAAACATATCTTTTCTGATCTTGGATCTGATGGCCTTCCAGATGCCATGTAGAGACTGTGGGATTGCTTTGCTTGCTTATTGGTTGGAAGAAATTGTATTAAAAATCTGAAAGTAACAAATGCTATGCACACATATTTAATAGGAAGTAGTTTCAGTAATATGTTGCTAGACTGCAGTCCACAAAGCCATGCTTGTTAAGCTGTATTACATATATTTAAAGAGTTTAAAGTCTGAACAAATTAGCTGTACAAGCTCTTCTGTTGTAAACTAGGTGAGATGCCTACAAAACTGGTATGAGGTCACAGTTTTCTAATGTTGTACTGATGCAGTTGGTGTATGTTTTCCAAATGCTGCAACAATTCTTGCAATCAAGCTTCATGCCCTTCAACTTTAGTAGTACTAAATTAGCTTAAATCTCAGATTTCTGGGCCAATCCATTTATGTGTTATTAATCACTCATTGACAGTAGCATTACGTAATGACTTCTATTCTTGAGCCAGATTAATTGCTGCATATAGAACTTTTATTACCCAGTATGAACTCAGACACAATACTTTTTATTAAGAGCAAAGGGCTGTCATCTTAAATAACCCAGTGATGTAACATGTTTGTATGAACTAGCCATTGACTTGACCAGTTTGCGGAATGGATAGGATTCTCTGCTTACATTCTCTGCTTATCAGACTTGCCAAGGGAACTTGATTGGTTTAGCATTTGAAATTGCCTTGTAATCCTTCTAGTCATTTATATATATTTTCAGCATTGATGTGTGTTGTCTGTGCTACCTTACCAGTCAACAAATGTGTGAATCTTTGCACCTTAAAATCTACTGCTTTAGTTCAGTACTAGAGGAAATGTGTGAAGATAGCTATATTTTCAAAACCTACAGCATTCTTATAGCGTATGAATGATGCTTCTGAGGATAATGGGAACTGCAGTCAAACACAGCTGAAGGCTGCTATATATTGCAAGCAATCTTAGCAATGACTTGATTGTTAGAACTGACCTAACTCAAACTGCAGGTGGGGGAGGGGGGTTAGGGTTCTTGTGCATGTACGAGAAAAGCAGCATGCTAAAGAGAAGCGTCAACTCAGACTAAGGAGGCCAGGTGTCTACAGTCTTAGTTTCATAGAACTGACAGAAGAGACACTCCT